GAGGAAGGAGCCATGTGTCAACAAAGACAGCTGGCCTCCCAGATAACTACATAGTCCTTTCCAGAACCCCTACATATATGAGAGAAGGCTCAGAATGATAAATGCAGTGATATGCATATATTACATACTGCAGTCACAGCATCTATCACATATAATAATGCATATTTTTTAAAATAGTGCATATAAAATGGAAGTCAATAGGGCAGGGCATCTTTTAAATTCACTATAAATACACAAAGTATTTTTTACATGCCTTATTGTTCCCATCTGAAGCAAGATGGATTTTAAACAGTTGAATATTACATTTACTAGATAATTCTATGCTTTAATGATTTACATGGTTTGTACACATTTAAGATCTTCACTAATGACACAAACTCAGCAGTCAATTTATTCTATTCCCTGAATCTATATTTGCCCCTCTGGTGGTTCAAAGCTTGTTATGCAAATGAGAATGCATCCCTGGACCAGGGGTGCTTGTAGAATTATTTTGATTTAAAAAATCTGACTCTTTTCAAATGAAAAGTTTTATTAATTATTCAGAGGTATTAATGAACAGTCAATACTGTAATTAAGTTTGAACCTCCCCCGTAGCCTCCATTTACTGTAATGGATTAAAACAGTGTCGTCCTAATGGTGCAGAGGATCGATTGTGGGAAACTTTTTATTTCTGATATCATTTTTTAAGCTACCGCTAAATGATATCAGAAATGTTCATTTCTACTGTGTTCTGTTAGTTAAAAGCAGTTGGACTCACAGTGGGTTATTTGCAGAGTTTGAGTCAAGAACCAGAGTAGGATTAGAACTTTCAAGGCCAGATCCAGATCAAGACTAATAACTTGGTCTGCCACTGAGACAACATTCCCTTTCTGCTGATGTCACTATGGCCATGCAGCTTATTGGCTGTTGTTAAGCATTGGACATACAGCTATTCAGGCATTGTTTAAGCACACTAGCAATTGATCGTTTTGTTATGCAATGCCCACTTTTATTGATTCAACGTTTATCCACTCATGCAAGTTGAGGTAGGGATCCAAAGTGCGGATTTACTGTATTTGATGACTGAAAAAGATACAGAATCCAAAACAAAACATTGGACTTAAATCAAACATGACAATGACTTAAACTGGTACAAGAGATGTACCATAAAAAACTCACAGGTTACATTAAATAAAGCTACACGCACACTAATCTTTAAACAAAAAACACCGGAAGACAGTCAAGACAAGAAGCAGGAACGTTGGTGACAGGAAACTTCAAAATAAAAGATATGACAAAATAAAAGCATAAAAAAACATAAAACTATAACAAAACTGAAACACACATGAAAGATGGTCCTGCTCTACTTTTTTTTCTGTTTAATATCCTGTTTCACTCTGAAATATGCCAAAAATATGGAAGTCAAATAGTTTGCAAGCAGCAATCCCCTTGACTTTAGTTCAGTTTCAGCATTTACAAAAAATTCTGCCATCATTTACCCACCTTTATTTCATTCCAAATCTATATGACTTTCTTCTGTGGAACATAAAAGAAGATACACTGTATGGTCAAAAGTATTAGGATACACCTCTTCATTACTGAATCCAGGTGTTTCAATCAGACCCACAGCCATAGTTGTAAAAAAATCAAGTTTCTAGCCATGCAGTCTGCATTTGTAGAAACATTTGAGGAAAAAAAATGTTGTAACTTGTGTGATAGGATGCCACCTTTGCAATAAATCAGTTAGTGAAATTTCATCCCTAGATATAGATATTCCATGGTTAACTGTATAACTGTATGTTGGAAAATGTAAGCATTTAGGAACAGCAGCAACTCATAATGGCACAGTGCTGGGTCACAGAGTGCTGAGGCACATGGTGCGGAAAAGTCGCCAACGCTCTGCTGATTCCGGAGCTGAAGAGTTCTAAACTTTCACTGCCATTAGTATTAGCTCAAAAACTGTGAAGCAGAAGCTTCGTGGAATGGGTTTCCATGGCCGAGCAGCTGCATGCAAGCCTCACATTACCAAATACAATGTCAAGAATTGGATGGAGTGGTGTAAAGCATGCTACAACTGGACTCTGGAGCAGTGAAAACCTGTTCTATGGAGTTGCAAAGCACACTTCTCTGTTTTGCAGTCTGATGGGTGAGTTTGGGTTGGGCAGATACCAGGAGAACATTACCTGCCTGACTGCAATGTGCCAACTGTAAAGATTGGTGAATGAAGGATAATGGTATGGGGCTGTTTTTCAGGGGCTGGAATAGGCCTCTTACTTCCAGTGAAGGGAAATCTTAATGCTTCAGCATACCAAGACATTTTGGAGAATGATGAGCTTCCAATATTGTGGGAACAGCTTGGTGAAGGCCCTTTTCTATTCCAGCATCACTGTGGCCCAGTGCACAAAGCAAGGCCCATAAACACATGGCTGGATGAGTTTGGTGTGGAAGAACTCGACTGGCCCACACAGAGCCACGACCTCAACCCCATCAAACACTGGAATGGAGATTGTGAGCCAGGCCTTCTCATCCAACATCAGTGCCTGACCTCACAAATTCTCTGCTGGATGAATAGACAAACATTACCAACAGAAATGCTCCAAAATCTTATGGAAAACCTTCCCAGAAGAGTTAAAGTTGTTATAGCTGCAAAGGGGGAACCAACTTCATATTGATGTCTATGTATTTAAAATACAATTTATAATTTGATGTAATGCCCCACTACTTTTACATTTACATTTACATTTAGTCATTTAGCAGACGCTTTTATCCAAAGCGACTTACAAATGAGGACAATAAAAGCAGTCAAAACTAACAAAAGAGCAACAATATATAAGTGCAAATGACGTGTCGTGTGTAAATAAGGTCCAGTTGGTTGCCTGATTTGTGAGTAGCCGTAGTTAATATTCGCTTGAGATCAAAACAAGCAAGCAGAGTGTGGAGGTCTGCAGCCTGAGGTTTATCTAGGTGGATGTTGAAGTCTCCAAGCATAACTAGGGGAGTACCATCCTC